CATAGGTTCTGGGCTCTCTGTGATATTACGAGATTGCTATATGAAAATGATGAAGAAAGTTGAAAACATGGCTCAAAAATGAGAAATCAACATGCCAGTAATCAATTACATGAAACAAAAATAACATGTTGGCCAGCTCAAACTCTTGCAAATCTCAGGTAAACAAGACACACTTACTGTATTTGGATTGGACCTAGAGAAATCACTGGGAAAACACTCAAATTCACACAGAATAAACCCACAAGTACACAGATACGGATCCAGAACTGAATTCTTTAAAACAAAATGGCCGCCAGTCGGCCATTTCGAACTTGATCCGAAAAAAAAAATTACGTGCATCAAGGTCCTATTATGTTTAATGTATGTACCAAATTTGAACGAAATCCGTCCATGCATAACTGAGATCCGGGTCCGGAATGGTGAAAATGTGTGATTTTGATGCATTTTCAGACTTAAAATGGCCGCTATTTGGCTATCGTTAATCGGATCATGAAAAAAATGCATGTGCATATGTCCCATATAATGTGTGATGTATGAGTGAAGTTTGAACTTAATCGGTCCATGCATGTTCGAGATACAGGTGATCACGGACGGACGCACGGACGAACAAAGGGCAAAACATAAGTCCCCGTTTTCGGACTACGTCCGAATGGGGACTAATAAAGTTGTAACCAGACAAGCAGCCAGTCGGCTGAGGTAGCTCCGCTGTTAGCAATGCACATTTCAATAAAAGAACAGAAGATATCATTAGAAAATAAACAATATGTATAGGATCAAAGCAATGGGACTTCTCACCAAAAATGACAAAAATAATCATCAAAATTAGATAATTGAAGATATCACCACGAAATTACAAATCTGAATAAGGTCCACATGTAGTACCTATATATGTAATATAAATACAATCGGACTTGCGGTTTTCAACAAGAAGTCGAAAATATCACTTTTTACCAAAAATGACAAAAATATTAAGCAAAATTGAAGAATTGAAGATATCATGAAATGAACAAATCTGTAAGTGGTCAACATGTAGTACCTATATATATAATATCAAAGCAATTGGACTTGTGGTTTTTAACAAGAAGTCGAAAATATCACTTTTTACCAAAAATGACAAAAATATTCACCAAAATTAGAGAATTGAAGATATCATCATGAAATGAACTAATCTAAAAGAGGTCTACCCAAGGTACATATACACCAAGTATCAAAGCATTCAGGCTTATAGTTTTCAAGAAGAAGTCGAAAAAGTAAAACCTGACACGGACGACGACGGACAATCACTCATATGATAAGCTCCACTCAACAAAGTCGACAGCGGAGCTAAAAAAAACTTCAGAGCACCTTTTGCTAACTGAAGCATACGGAGAAGAGAAAGAGTAAACAAACAACTACTTGTCACTAGGGCTAAAAATGGCCCCTACAGCAACAAAGGTTCAAATGCAGCTGTATAACATCAGCCTTAAAAACAGCCTCTGAGTGTTTTAGTTTTCAGCTTACACAAAATAGTTGTATACAGGCATATTGTTGCGTAAAAACAACCAAATTGTGGCTGCTCTTTTGACTTGCGTGAGTTCTGTGATACTATGGTACATTTGTACTACTATGTTGGATTGATGTGCATAGAATGGCAATCACTTTCAAATGTATCCAAATCACAAAGGTTCAATACTTGTTAGATCTTTATCGGATATCACCATACATGGTTATGAAAGTAGCATACCCCTATTCTTATACATTCTTGCTGCCATCAAATTTAGTATGAATGAAACAAGTCATCTCTGAGTAACATTTGTAGACACATTAAAGTTATC